TTCTGATGATTGTTTCTTTTACTCTACAGAAGCTCTTTAGTTTGATTAGATCCCATTTGTCAATTTAGTTTTTGTTTCCATCGCTTTTGGTATTTTAGTCATAAAGTATTTGCCCATGGCTACGTCCTGAATGGTATTGCCTAGGTTTTCTTGTAGGGTTTTTATGGTTTTGCGTTTTACATTTAAGTCTTCAATCCATCTTGAGTTAATTTTTGTATAAAGTATAAGGAAGTGGTCCAGTTTCTGTTTTCTGCCTATGGCTACCAGTTTTCCCAGCACCATTTATTAAATAGGGAATCCTTTCCCCATTGCTTGTTTTTGTAAGGTTTGTCAAAGATCAGATGGTTGTAGATGTGTGGAGTTATTTCTCAGGTCTCTGTTCTGTTTCATTGGTGTATGTGTATATATATAGATATGTGTACATATATATGTGTATATGTATGTGTATATATATGTTTTGGTACCAGTATGATGCTGTTTTGGCTACTGTAGCCTGGTAGTGTAGTTTGAAGTCAGGTAGTGTGATGCCTCCAGCTTTGTTCTTTCTCCTTAGGATTGTCATGGTTATATGGGCTCTTTTTTGGTTCCATATGAAATTTAAAGTAGTATTTTTCTACTCTGCAAAAAAAGTCAGTGGTGTCTTGATGGGAATAGCATTGAATCTATAAATTACTTTGGGCAATATGGCCATTTTCATCATATTGATTCTTCCTATCCATGAGAATGGAATATCTTTTCATTCATTTGTGTCCTCTCTTATTTCTTTCAGCAGTAGTTTGTAGTTCTCATTGACGAGGTCCTTCAAGTCCCTTGTAAGTTGTACTCCTAGGCATTTTATTTTCTTTGTAGCAATTGTGAATGAGAGTTCACTCATGATTTGGCTCTCTGCTTGTCTATTTCTGGTGTGTAGGAATTCTTGTGATTTTTGTACATTGGTTTTGTATCCTGAGACTTTGTTGAAGTTACTTATCAGCTTAAGGAGTTTGGGCTGAGATGATTGGGTTTTCTAACTAAACAATCATGTCATCTGCAAACAGAGACAATTTGACTTCCTCTCTTGCTATTCAAATATGCTTTATTTCTTTCTCTTGCCTGGTTGCCCTGGCAGAACTTCCAATCCTATGTTGAATAGAAGTGGTCAGAGAGGGCATCCTTTTCTTGTGGTGGTTTTCAAATGGAATGCTTCCAGCTTTTACTCATTCAGTATGATATTGGCTATGGGTTTGTCATAAATTGCTCTTATTGTTTTGAGATATGTTCCATCAACACTTAGTTTATTGAGAGTTTTTAGCTAAAGAGATGTTGAATTTTATCAAAGGCCTTTTCTGCATCTATTGAGATAATCATGTGGTTTTTGTTTTTAGTTCTGTTTGTGTGATGGATTACATTTATTGATTTGTGTATGTCGAACCAGACTTGCAACACAGCGATGAAACTAACTTGATTGTATTGGGTAAGATTTTTGATGTGCTGCTGGATTCAGTTTGCCAGTATTTTATTGAGGATTTTTGCATCAATGTTCATCATGGATATTGGCCTGAAATTTTCCTTTTTGTTTTTGTTGTTGTTGTTGTTGTGCCTCTGTCAGATTTTGATATGAGTATGATGCTGGCTTCATAAAATCAGTTAGAGAGGAGTCTTTTTCTATTGTTTGGAATAGTTTCAGAAGGAATGGTATCAGCTCCTCTTTGTACCTCTGGTAGAATTCAGCTGTGAATCCCTCTGGTCCTGGGCTTCTTTTGGTTGGTAGGCTATTAATAACTGCCACAATACAAGAACTTGTTATTGGTCTATTCAGGGACTCAGCTTCTTCCTGATTTAGTCTTGAGAGGGTGTATGTGTCCAGGAATTTATCCATTTTTGTAGATTTTCTAGTTTATTTGCATAGAGGTGTTTGTAGTATTTTCTCATGCTAGTTTGTATTTCTGGGAGATCAGTAGTGATAATCCCCTTTATCTTTTTTATTTTGTTATTTGATTCTTCTTTTTTTCTTCTTTATTAGTCTAGCTAGTGGTCTATCTATTTTGTCAATCTTTTCAACAACAACAACAACAACAAAAAAAAAAAAAACAGCTCCTGGATTTGTTGATTTTTTGAAGGGTATTCATGTCTCTATCTCCTTCAGTTCTGCTCTGATCTTATTTATTTCTTGTCTTCTGTTAGCTTTTGAATTTGTTTCCTCTTACTTCTATAATTCCTTTAATTGTGATGTTAGGGTGTCAATTTTAGATCTTTCCTGCTTTCCGATGTGGGCATTTAGTGCTATAAATTTCCCTCCATACACTGTTTTGGTTGTGTCCCAGAGATTCTGGTATGCTCTCTCTTTCTTCTTACTGGTTTCAAATAATTTTTTTATTTCTGTCTTAATTTCATTATTTACCCAGTAGTTATTCAGGCAAAGGTTGTTCAATTTCCATGTAGTTGTGTGGTTTTGAGTGAGTTTCTTAATCCTGAGTTATAATTTGATTGCTCAGTGATCTGAAAGAGTGTTTGTTATGATTTCCATTCTTTTGTATTTGCAGAGGATGTTTTACTTCCAATTATGTGGGTGATTTTAGAATATGTGCTATGTGGCACTGAGAAGAATGTATATTCTGTTGATTTGGGGTGAAGAGTTCCATATATATCTATAGGTCCACTGGGTCCACAGCTGAGTTCATGTCCTCTCTTATTTCCTCGAGCAGTGGTTTGTAGTTCTCCTTGAAGAGGTCTTTCACATCCTTTGTAAGTTGTATTCCTAGGTGTTTTGTTTTCTTTGTAGCTATTGGGAAGGGGAGGTCACTCATATTGTGGCCGTCTGCTTGTCTATTCCTGGTGTGTAGGAATACTTGTGAATTTTTCACATTGATTTTGTATCCTGAGACTTTGCTAAAGTTGCTTATCAGTTTAAGGAGTTTTTGGGCTGAGATGATGGGGTTTTCTAAGGATGGAATATCCTAGTTAATTTTCTGTCTCATTGATCTGTCTAATATTGACATTGGGGTATTAAAGACTCTCCCTATTATTGTCTAGGAGTCTAAGTCTCTTTACAGGTCTCTAAAAACACAAAGATTCAAGATTTATGAATCTTGGTGCTCCTGTATTGGGTGCATATATATTTAGCATAGTTAGTTCTTCTTGTTGCGTTGATCCATTTACCATTACATAATGCCCTTCTTTGTCTTTTTTGATCTTCGTTAGTTTAAAGTCTGTTTTATCAGAGACTAGATAAACCCCGCTTTTTTTTGCTTTCCCTTTGCTTGGTAAATATTCCTCCATTCCCTTAATTTGGGCCTATGTGTGTCTTTGCACGTGAGATGGATCTCCGTAATGTACCACAACAATGGGTCTTGACTCTTTATCCAATTTGCCAGTATGTGTGTTTTAATTGGGGCATTTAGTCCATTTACATTTAAAATTAATATTACTATGTGGGAATTTCATTATGTCATCATGATTTTAACTGATTATTTTGCATATTACTTGATGCAGTTTCTTCATAGCATCACTGAGGGGAAGAGGAGACCACTTTGGTGTGTTTTTGCAGTGGCTGGTACCAGTTTTTCCTTTCTATATTTAGTGCTTCCTTGAGGAGCTCTTGTAAGGCAGCCCTGGTGGTGACAAAATCCCTCAGCATTTGCTGATCTGTAAGGGATTTTATTTCTCCTTCACTTATGAAGCTTAGTTTGGCTGGATATAAAATTCTGGGTTGGAAATTCTTTTCCTTAAGAATGTTCAATATTAGCTTCCACTTTCTTCTGGCTTCTAGGGCTTCTGCAGACTGATCTGCTGTGAGTCTGATGGGCTTCCTTTTGTAGGTAACCTGACTTTTCTCTCTGGCTGCACTTAATATTGTTTCCTTCATTTCAACCTTGGTGAATCTGACGATTATGTGTCTTGGGCTTGCTCTTCTCGAGGAGTGTCTTAGTGATGTTCTTTGCATTTCCTGAATTCGAATGTTGGCCTGTCTTGCTATGTTGGGGAAGTTCTCCTGGATAATATCCTGAAGTGTCCTTTCCAACTTGGTTCCATTTTCCCCTTCACTTATGGTACAGCAATCAATCGTAAGTTTGGTCTTTTCACATAGTCCCTTATTTCTTGAGGCTTTGTTATTCCTTTTCATTCCTTTTTCTCTTATCTTGTCTTCACACCTATTTCACTAAGTTGATCTTCAATCTCTAGTACACTTTGTTCCACTGGTTTGGTTCAGTTATTGATACTTGTGCATGCTTCACAAAGTTCTTGTACTGCCTTTTTCAGCTCCCTCAGATTATTTATGTTCCTCTCTATACTGATTATTCCAGTTAGCAGTTCCTGTAACCTTCTATCAAGGTTCTTAGCTTCCCTGCGTTGGGTTAGAACATGGTCCATTTGCTCAGAAGAGTTTGTTATTTTGGTGGAAGTTTTATGGATTTTCTCTATATGAGATTATGTTATCTGAAAACAGAGATTGTTTTACTTTTTCATTTCTAATTTCCTTTCTGTTTATTTCTTTTTCTTGGCTGATTGCTCTGGCTAGGTCTTCCAATACTATTTGGAATAGAAGTGGTGAAAGTGCACGTCCTTGCTTTGTTCCCGAAATTACAGGAAATATCTTCAGTCTTTCAGATTGCATATGATGCTAGCTGTGGAAGTTTCATAGATAGGCTTTACCATGTTGAGGTAATTTCCTTCTATTCATAATTCACTGAGTGTTTTTGTCATGAAAGGGTGTGGGGTTTTGTGAAATAATTTTTCTGTAACCAGGGTCTTACTGCTTTGCATCTGGAAAAGTCAATCTGTTGTACACCCACCCATACCTTCTCCACTATATGCCTGGTGTTAGAGAGGAAGGAATACTTTGTGTCCTTCAGAGGCCAGGAGCCACTCCACCAGACCCACAGCAGTAGTCATCTGTGTGAGAGGGTGGGGAAGCAAAAGAGTCCCTCATGGGTAAAACTGAGAACTCTGCTTGAAGCCATAGTAGCTGTTACCTCTCTATAGATGTTGATTGAGATGGGGCTACCCCTGCCACCCTGGATTCAGACACAGGCAAAGGGTCCAGGAACAACAGGGGACTGGACCAGAATCAGAAACAATAGGGTGAGGGGCTAGGCTCAGGCTCCTGTGGGTAATATGGGGTGACAGTTACAGGGAGTCACGCCATTTGTCCCAGAGTTGGTGGCTGTGTTGATGACTCTTCCAGGGAAACCAGTTTCTTCCTCACTCTGACCACCTCCAACTGATAACCCCTCTTTTAGATTGATCAGGTTTGGATGGCCCCAGAATTTCTATTAATGGGATTTAGTTTTCTTAAAGTGTGGAATGATTGCTTCATGCAAATCAGCCCTCTTCCCTTGTCTCCCGACCCTTCATAGGATCTCAATCCTGACAGTCACCTGCCTACATTTTCCAGTCAGGGTGGAGAAGGCCAAGCTGGCTGCACCCAGTTTCCTGTGAAGACACAGCTGCTGAACTCAGTGAGCAGTGAGCAGATGACACAGGGTCACAGCAGGAGCTGGCTTCCCAGCTATGGTCACCTGCAGACCTCTCAGGGATATGCCCACAACATCTGGTGCTGCCCCAGGCCAAGACCCACTGAGTCTTTCAGTTTCTCCCTGCCTTTCTTCATTTCTTCCACTCCAAAAGAGACAACTGTGAGGGCCCCGGTGAATATGCATCTGTACTTATTGCTGTGCACAGAACTCTTGAACTATGACATACCTGCCTAGTCTACTGCTATTTGTAGTAAAGTCCTGGGATCTTGACCTTCCTGAAGTAGATTCCCTAACAGACGTCAGAGCAGGGAGCCCAGCTTGATGAAGGGGAAGCCACCAGGAATGCAGGGCTGTGCCCACAGCTGCCTGCTTCGTCCTCACTCAAGAGTGTGGCCCATTTCCAGGTTCCCAATTTGTCTCCTGAAAGCCCTGCACTCTAAGGTTGTTCTCTCCACTGCTCGCAGCTCACCAGCCTCCAGCAGCAAATGAAACCGAAGTTGGTCTCTCACTAGACATAGGCAGAGGCAGGTTGAGCTCTTCTCTCTCTCACATGTTACTTATGCACCCCTGGTTGAAGCCCGTGTGTGTGGGGACTGAGTAGCCCCATGCATCTGGGTGTGACAGGACATGAAATCACTTGTCCAGAGCTCAGGCTGAAGCAACCCCTGGGAGGCCCTGAATCTGCAGACTTGAAGGCTAATAAAAAGAATAATTAGAGAAGTGAGTAGGCATCATTCACTGGGAGTTATATTCCATGCATTACATGCTAACTGATGTGCCCACTTGAGTGTAGTTTTCTTAGAGAAGCTCTGTGTTTGTAGTTAAGCCCCTAGACCCAGCATCAGTAAGGGCAGGCCTGCCCCAGCTATGCCTCCTCCAGGTTGTGACACTGTGTGGAGTTGCCAGATCAATTAAAGCGCACCCAGTTATGTTTATATTTAAACACACTATATTGTCTGGGAGATACATATATTGACTTTTTTTTTTTTTTAAGTTAGAGTGTCACTCTGTTACTCCACAGTCAGTGGCCCGTTCTCAGTTCACTGCAACCTCTGCCTCTTGGGTTCAGGTGATTCTCATGCCTCAGCCTCCTGAGTCACCGGGATTACAGGTATATGCCATGAGGCCCAGTTAATTTTTGTATTTGTAAGAGATATGGGGTCTCACCATGTTGTTCAGACTTGTCTCGAACTCCTGGCCTTAAGCAATCCATCAGCCTCGGCTTCTAAAAGTGCCAGGATTAAGGTGTGAGCCACAGCACCCAGCCTACATATCAATTCTTCATCACTGTTTTACTGAATTCAAATTGAACTGACCTCCAGTGTTTACATTTGATAAATTAGAGAACACCATCTCCGGGCCACAAACACTTCCTCTCCAATCAGGACCACTGCCTGAAGAGGAATAATAGACCTGTTGTCAGGATTACATGAAGTCACAGTCTCAGGAATTGTCAAAAGTAAGGTTGCAGTTGTACTAAAGAAAACATAGTGTGGTTGCCCACACAGACACAGACAGACACCCTGGTTTCTACACACCGACCCTGGCTGGGAGGGAACAGAAGTATCAGCACCCCTGGTCACTTCAGCTGAGAGAAACCAACAGGCCAGGAGACAGGATGAAGGAGGGGGAGGTGCTTTCCATAGTTCTCACGAGGCATCTTGTTTGTGTATTACCTATTTAAAACCAAGAGAATAAAACAAAATTGTTGAATAATGGTGAGAAGTGAGTATGTAACAGCACAAGATGCAGCAGGGCTGAGAATCACCGGAGAGAGAACATTAAATGCCTACAGGACTCGATACTGTTAGGGGCCCCAGGAAATGTATTCATTTTCTAAAAATCAGATAAAAAAGGAATATAGGCTACCCTGGGTTATATATGTGTGTATATACAAAGGCAAGAATGGGCATGAAAGGCAAAGTGGCTAGGGACACTGAAAGGTACTAATGAGCCCTTTATGGGATGGGATATAATTCAGCAACAACAGGGAGAATCTCAAAACAAGTGTGCAGAGTGAAAGAAGCCTCAACAAATGGCAAGATAACGTTTGAGCACACTGACGCATTCCACAAAATGAAAACCAATCAGTAATGACAGAGGAAGTTCTGTGGCTTCCCGGGAGGGCACTGGGGTAGAAAGGGCTTTGACAAAGGGTCATGAGGAGCTGCTGGGGTTGGTCACCGGTTGCATAGCTCGGTGGTGGTGATGCTTTCAAGAATCCGGAAACATGCCAATATGGGTGTGATGGTATATTATAAATATATGTGTTTCATCATATGTACATTATTCCTCCTTGGAAAGGGTTTTATTAAAAAGAACAGGCTGGTGAGGAAAGAAGCCAAGGGATTCACCCTGAGAAGCAGAGACAGAAAGCCAACAGTCTGGGAACTTCTAGAAATCAGGAAATGAGGATGATGGAGACACAGATTCTGCATCAGAGTTAGATCTGTAATGACACAGCTGGACCTATCACCTCAGCCCAAGACCTCAGTCCGGAGACCCTGTGCCCCAAGGTACAAAGAGTTGGGTGTTCTGTTCCCTGGAGGCCCTGTTCCTAGCAAGGAGCTGCTGTGCATGATTCTCACAACAGAAAAAAAGAGAAGTCTCTACTCTGAGGCAGGGCCCTGGATACCCCTGGACCATGGGGAAGCTGCAGCAGCAGAAGCCACAGGCCACGCCTGAGCAGCATCAGCTGAGTGCTCACCCTCCTGGAAGAGGAGGAAGTGGGTTCTTGTCTCAGATTCCCCCGGGCCTGGAGCACTGTGTGAGCACTCAGGCTGCTGTCATAGGACTGGCAGTAATAATCAGCCTCATCCTCAGACTGGAGCCCAGTGATGGTCAGGGAGGCTGAGGTACCAGACTTGGAGCCAGAGAATCGGTCAGAAACCCCTGAGGGTCGCTGATTATTTCCATAGATGAGGAGTTTGGGGGTCGTTCCTGGAAGCTGCTGGTACCAGTGTACATTATAACCTCCAATGTTGGAGCTGCTCCCAGTGCAGGAGATGGTGACCCTCTGCCCGGGTGCCCCAGACACTGAGGGCGGCTGCGTCAGCACAGACTGGGCCCAGGACCCTGGAAGTGGAAGAGACACAGGCATCATGATTCTGCTTCTAGAGACAAGAGGAGAAACCAGTCATCAATAGGCTTCCCAGGGCCCCTCCCCTGGACCTGTATCCAGTCACCTGTGCAGTGAATGAGAAGGGTGAGGAGGAGAGGAGACAAGGCCATGCTGGAGAGTGTCCTGAGTGCTGCCTCCTGTGCCCACAGCTGAAGCAGAGCTTCCCCAAATCTCTCCCTGCCCCTCCTTCTTCATACTCTGAGAGTGGGAGGGTCCATCCATGCAAATCAGGCCCCCAGCTTTCTAATCCCACCCTGGGCCCTGGGTCAGGCCCTTATGCCTGAGGATGTCAGGGGGTGGCAGGGGCGGGGCTGTGTGGTCCCAGGGGGTGGGTAGGCTGCAGGTGTGAGCCCTGAGCAGAGGACACCAGGCAGGGCAGGTGACTGGTTCTGCTCTGATCACCCCCACCCTTCTCTGGAATGGTCCCCAAGCGCCCCCTGGTGTCCAGACCAAGACAAACTTGTGTGAGGAGGTGACCAGAGCCTCCAGAGACACCGCTGCCTCCCCGCTGTTCTGTCCACTGTCCCCTCTCAGAACCAAGTCAGTTGGTGCTTGTGACTTCTCCCTGTGATCTCAGGGCAGTTCTCCCACTTTACTGACCTCCTTAGGAGTGAAACTGTCTGCGGCGCTCTCACTGTTTATTGTAGAGGACTCAGGTGGTGACTACACAATGTCCTCATAGGTCAGAATCAAACCCAGACCAGGGACCGACTTTCATGGACTCACTTTCCCACGTGTGGGGACACCGTGTCCTCTCATGTGGCTCCTCCCTGGTGGCCAGAGCTATGCTTCCTCTGTGGATCCTGCAGCACTGAGTAGAAGGGAAGTTCTTCCCTCTAGGATGCCCAGGGAACATTCCCAGAGGGTTATTCTGGTCAATCTTCATTCTCTACTTCCCCAGAATTGCAGTCATAGTCATCTGGATCTTGTGACCAGGCTGAGCCGTGCCTCACATAAAGGACAAGGCTGCCCATGACCCCCTCCCTGCCCAGGAATGCCCTTCCTGGTGGATGCCCCATCAGTTCTTAGGGTGAGGGAAGAGTGAGGAGCAGGTCCACAGCTACCTCTCCCAGGTCAGCCCCATCCTGGGGCCAGTATAATGTGGCCCATGTGATAAGAGGTAGGTCTCTGTCAAATAGTTGCTGAGCACGTATCTTGTGCTGGGCATAGAGCACAGGGTTGGAAATGCCATGTTGATCTAGACAGCCTAATCCCTACCTTGTGCAGCTGCCCTGATGAAAACACAGGCATAGGAGGGGCACCGGAGTCCCCCCTTCCACCCTCTTAATCCCTGGGACAGAAACCAGAGAAGTCCCTGCTGCGCTCCAGGGTCTGAGAAGAGATCTCGACTAGGTGGCATCCTAGGGAAAGATGGAAGAAGGGAGTACAGGAGAACGAAGGGAATATGGGCATGACCTGAAGATTCCTGGGGTTCAGGTGAAGATGTACAGAAGTCCACGAAGTAGATACAAATGAATAACATTAGATAAATAACAGGATCTAGGAGAAGTGGACTCCCAGGAAGGAGCGACTGTGATTGAGAAAGACACCCTGGCAGGGCAAGTCCTCAGAAATCCAAGAAGATGCACTTTTATTCCCCAAGTCCAGGAGCTTGTTCACTGGTTGGGCAGAAAAAGAGGAGATTCCATTTTAGGAGAGCCTGGATGGGAGGTGTGTGATGGGAATGTCCACATGTACAGGTATATTTCTAGATATTTCATACAAATGGGATCGTGTTAATTTTTAGATTGCTGTGAAAGAAGACATATTCAATGCTATATTGCTATTATTCAAAAACACGGTGTATCTTCAGCAAAGAAAATTTGCCCCACAGGTGCTATCCTGGTGGACTATAAGCACTGTGTTTTTAAAAGGCTTTTTTTACCTTTTTTTTTTTTTTTTTTTTTACCATCACACTTTTTTTCCAGAAACATGCATTCCGATTAAAATTGTTGATGTAATTTAATAATACATCTTTCTGAAAGTTATGCAATTACATTTTTGACACATATACTCTGGACCTATCAGAGGTTATTCATTGAGAAGACCAACAACATTCACTACTGAATGTATTCATGCTGTTGTTTCTGAGGAGTAAACTCTTGAAGCTCTGGAATTAATTTTCTTAGATCTTGGAGGAATTCCTAAGAGGTAGTGAAACTTTTCTTTGCTAACCCTCCATTTATTTAAGAACCCTCCCATCTCTCTTTTTTGTGACAATGGCCTGTAGATACATGGTTGGCATCATTAGCTGCTGAGTGGAAGATGAGCCATGACAGGAAATGAGAACATAAGTGTGCGTATATAATTTTGGAAATGAAATGGCTCTAGACCTGAGGAAATAACGTGATATTATTGGGTATAGACAGCACTTTCTAGAAGAACACTGAGAAGAAGAATCTAAAGTTTGGGTAAAGTAGGAGAGCTCAGTTATGGCTTTTATAGTTTAATCAGCTTTTGAAGGGTCAGGGTCACAGCTGAGTAAAAGCCAGTTTGCCATTGACCGCAGACCCTGGAACCAGGACTGACAGAAGACTCTCAGCAGTGACACGGCTAGCCTGGGGGAGCAGCCACTTTGAGATGAGAGCAGAAGGAGGCACCCTGTGCAGTGCAGGGACAGAGTGGGAGGTGCAGGTGCTGTCCCCTGAGTCTGGTCCTCACTTGAACAGGGACAGACAGAGGAGAGGTGCTGAGGTGATGGTGATCGGTGGCCTCTAGTGTGGCTTCTTCAACTACTACTGTTCTCCCTTTTTTTTCCTCTGGGCTTTGGAGGCCAACATGAGGATGTTTATCTGCTTTCTGTCTCTCCTGAGGCTGCCTGATTGTCCTATCAATGCCTCCTTGATGGGCATGGATGTGTCTTGGCATGGAATTGATCTGGGAAAGAATATCACAAAGGTCAGGGATCCCATGATGGAGTTTTTTGAGACAGAGACTCTCTTGCCTGTGTCCCAGCCCAGCTCTCAGTTTTCACAAGACAATACCCATTATGAACTAAAGATGAGGGTGGAGGGTACAGTGATTCACACAGTGAGGCTACTTAGGCAGAGCTCCTGCTTTTGCCTTTTCCCGTCATGTCTGGACCCCAGATTTTCCAGCCCTGAGTTCAGCATGTAAGAGTCCACAGCTGCAATATTAGGGACAGGCAGTGTGTGGCCCAAACCCATCAGATATGCTCTCTGTTCACCATGATGCTGTCATGGGAGACGGCATGAATAATTTCCTCTGGTTGTCTTTAAGGCCGAGATTCCAGACCAGCTGTTTGGGGAGGGCAGATGTTTCTCATTCTGGAACTTTTTCAGTGAGGATGGCGTATGCTAAACTGGGGAGCCATTTTGTTTCCAAATAGGAATTCAGCCAGGGACAGGAGAGGTTATGGAGAGTTGACATGTCATATATCTCAGAGATATGTTTTCCTCTCCCGTTTGCCATGTGGAGAGGAAAAAGTCATGTGACACATTTGAACAAGGCTAGGGAGCTTTTGTCTCAGTTTTCATTGTGAGGATGAACTCAAGGCTTCCTGCAACCCCCTTGAACTTGAAGGACCCCACCCGCCACCAAGCTGTATGATCACTGTGCCCCAGTCAAAGACTAAGGCCGGTCTTGAGCCCCTCACCTGACCCAGGCTTCAGTCCCTCCTCCCCAGAAACCAGTACTGAATCTCACCGCTCTCTCCCAGTGACCTCAGCTGGTCCCACGGCCTTCACACTTCCAACCTCCTTGTCCATCTTCTCTGAAGCATCTGGAATTGTCTTCACACTCTTACCTCAGATCCTGGGTCCTCTTTGTCCAACCCTCTAATGGCTTCTCTACCCTCTCCCACCCAAGCTCTCCTCTCCTCACTGTGTGATGCTGTCTTACTGCATCAATATTTTTACTTGATTGTCTTTTCCACAAGTCGGTGTGAGCTAGAATATTCTAGACTTATCTGTAAGCCTTCATCCATTTTGGTATCAGTACTGGGCTCTGCTACGGGGACATAAGTCTTAGATGTCAGAGTCTGGGAGCTTCAGTCCTAACCAATTTCCTTGAAAGCCCCCAATTTCTTTGATCTGAGAGTGAGACTCAGCCTCCCCTCAATGCCTGAGTGGACAATAGTCCTCTAAGAATTCTTATCTAAGGAAAATAATCTCTTCAAAGGCATTTTTTTAGCCGATTCCTTTCCAAATTGCAACACAGGAAAAAATGAGTTGATGGCTCAGGAGATCTGGTCCACCATCTGAGCCTCAGTTTATGCCATCCCTCCTCACTTTAGTAAGAGGGTCCTCACTATTTTCTGGTCCCAGAAACCTCTTCTACCTCCCCCCACCATCTGGTGGGACTACCTGGCTCTGCTGCCTAATATAATTACTGGACATCCCCTTGTTTTCTGTGGCTGCCTCCTCTGTAATTCTCTGGAAGGAGGAAGCCAGGGGGAGGCTGGGAGAGAGGAGGGAGGGGAGTCTTGGGTAGGCTTCTGATTTCTAACTCTTTCTTCTCCTCATTGGGGCACTGAGAGGCGATGGAAACAATGCCTGGGCTGAGCAAGGTCCTCAAGTAGCCTTAAGCCCGCACCTGGCCATAGCTACAGTGAGGAGAGTGATAGGAGGAGGGTTAAGGAAGGAGTCCAGGTCTCAGGGAGCACATCGTCACCCTCTGGGTTCTAGTGAAGCTCAAAGGCCCACACCTCCTCACCCCCTCCCCACAGCATGGGCAGGCACAGGGAGGTCTGTGAAGACACAGCTGGATCTGCCAACTCAGCCCAGGATATCAGTGCAGAAACCCTGTGATCCAAGCTGTGGGAGCAGGATGTTCTGATTCCTGGGGTCCCTATTCCTGACTCTGAGGACAAAAGTGGTGGAGCCTCCACTCTTAGGAGGGCCCTGGCTGTCCCTAGGCCCATGGGGGAGCTGCAGCAGCAGAAGCTACAGGTCAGGCGTGAGCAGCAGCTGCAGGCACTCACCCTCCTGGCAGAGGAGGAAGGGGGTTCTTGTCTCAGTTCCCCATTGGCCTGAAGCACCATGTGAGCACTCAGACTGTTATCCCATGCTAAGCAGTAATAATCGGCCTCATCCTCAGGCCGGAGTCCAGTGATGCCCAGGGTGGCAGAGGTGCCAGACTGGGAGCCAGAGAATCGGTCAAGGACCCCTAAGGGTCGCTTATTAACGTCATAGATGAGGAGTTTGGGGGCTGCTCCTGGGAGCTGCTGGTAGCAGGATGCATAATACCTCCCGATGTTGGAGCTGCTTCCAGAGCAGGAGATGGTGACCCTCTGTCCTGGGTCCGCAGACACTGAGGGCGGCTGCGTCAGCACCGACTGGGCCCAGGAGCCTGGAAGCGGGAGAGACACACACATGGTGATTCTTGGTCTAGAGAGAGAAGGAGAAAGCAGGGCCTCACGGGCTTCCAGGACCCCTCCCCCGACCCTGTATCTGGGCACCTGTGCAGTGAATGAGAAGGGTGAGGAGGAGAGAGGACCGGGTCATGATGAAGACTGTCCCGAGTCCTGCCTTCTGTGCTCACAGCTGAGGCCGAGCTTCCCCAAACCTCTCCCTGCCCCTCTTTATACTCTGAGAGAAGGAGGGTCCATCCATGCAAATCCGACCCCCAGCTTTCTGATCCCACCCTGGGCCCTGGGTCAAGCTCCTCTGCCTGAGAGTGTCAGGGAGTGGCAGGGGTGGGGCCATGTGGTCCCAGGTTGTGGAGAGTTCACATCTATGAGCCCTAAGCATAGGGCACCAAACAGGACAGTTGACGCTGGTCCTGCTCTCATCACACCCAGTCTTCTCAGGAATGGTACGCTGGCGCCCCCTCGTGTCCATTGTGTGACATTGTACACCACCATTGTATGACAAGGTGACCAGAGCCTCTCAGAGACACCCCTCCCTCCCTGTTGTTCTGTCCACAGCCCTCTCCATCACGGCCAGGCCAGGCAGCCCCCTGGGTCTTTTTTTTTTGTGACTTCAGGGCAGACTTCACGTTTTACTGGGTTCCTCAGGGGTGAATCTGTCCATGGCTCCCTGGTTGTTCACTGTATAGGACTCAGGTGGTGACTACACAAAGTCCTCTCATGTCAGAATGAAATCGAGAGCCCTGACCAGCCCCATGGACTCATTTCCTCACTTGTGGGGACACCGGGTCCTCTGCTCTCGTGTCGCTCCTCCCTGGTGGCCAGAGCCCTCCTTCCTCTGTGGATTCTGCAGTGCTGGGTAGATAGGGAGCTCTTCCCTCCACGATGCCCGGGGTACACTCTCAGAGGGTTATGCTGGTAAATCTTTGTTCTGTCTCTCCCTTTACAGACTTGCAGTCACAGTCCTCTGGGTTCTGTGACCAGGGATCTCATCCAGGAGTCTGTTCTCCATCACTGAATGCCAGTCTGCAGGAGATCCTGGCAAATGACTTTGCAGTGTTTCGCTTAAGAGCAACAAAGCAAATATGCTCAGTATTTGAAGATGGGAAGAATTAAAACTCTACCTTGTTTTGACCAGAGTCTGTACACTGGTGAGCCTGACACGTGGTAGCTTTTAGGATCAACCATTGCAACTAGGATGTTTAGGAAATAATATGGTTCAAATTCAGTAAGGAGTGTTTTGGGCATGTCTTAAAGATGATAGAAATGATTTATCTTTGATGTGTGTTGACATCTAGAATATGATACATTAAAAACAATAAACTGAAGAAAAAGATAACCCTATTGATGAAAATGAAAAATGAAACAGATTGTATATGTGACTGCCTGAGTTCTGGCGTGATACACCCTGGGATCGGAATAAATATTTGTTTAGGGAATTTTAAGGGAATACAGAAAAACAGCAGGATGGTTATGTTAATATAAGTTGCGATACAATAAGATTTTAAATGCTGCATTCAAACAGTGCGATAGTGAAATCTAATATTGACATTTAAATAAAACCAGTCCATATATGGAACTGAAATAAAATGTATGCTGGGTTTTGGGGTCACATTTCAAGTGTGTCATTATTTTAAATGTTCCTTTTAGTGTGAGCCATGAGCCGTTACATAATTTTTATAGTTTTAAAAATGTGTTTGTTGTGTTTACATAGCACATCAGGCATATTAAGTTTTATTTATTTCCAAGTAGAAACGAGCTATTAGATCTGGGCTTCGCTTCCTCTCTCCTCCTCATTGCTGTTTCTTTGGTGATGCATAGATGGTCACAGAGAATGTTGTTGTCCTTTCCTCCCACTTTAATGAACAGGGGGTCACCGAGGCTGAGCGGTGTCTCACATACAGGACAAGGCTGCCCATGGACTCCTCCCTGCCCACGGATGCACTTCCTGGTGGATGCCCCACCAGCTCTTAGGCTGAGGGCAGAGAGAAGAACAGGTCCACAGCTAAGGAACTTGGACACCCGGAGAATCTGGGAGGGACAACAGCTGGGACAGTGAACCCTGGAAAGAGGGCACTGACCATAAATTTTGTATGTGATCCTCCTTAGGGACCCTCAGAGGCAGAACAAAACCCCAATACCTGTGTGTCTTGAGGGCCCAGGTCCTTCCAGGTCCTCCTTTTGTCACTGCTCTAGGCCCCGGGCCTCCTCTTCCTATGAGTCGCAATGTACAGTCTCCTCTTCAGGCTGCACCCTCCTTACCACAACTGACCCCACACCCGTCTCCTCCTCCCCCATAAACCATGCCCTGCTCACTTCCATTAGCATGTTTGCATCATTCTGGATCACAGCCTCCCTGAGGATGTCTCTGCAGGATATCCATGTTGCAGAGAGCTCAGTGCTTTGACAGGACAGCTGGGCCTGGGCCACCTGAGTCTGAGCATCTCTCTTGCTTCTCTTCTACACCAGCTCTAGGCCAAGCCAGATCCAGAACTTTCAGAATGCTGAGCCCACGTTTTCTTAACCATCCGACTTCCTCTCTCACATCTCTGGGTCCTACAGGTTGGACTCTCCTTTGCTGTCATCGCTGCCACAGTTTCAGAGCTCAGGAAATGGCCAGGATACCTGCACCAAAAGGAGGGGACACCTGTGGGACCAGGCCAAGGGCTCCTGGACTTCTGGGTCACACAGCCTGGATTCCTTCTTTTCTTCTTTTATTTAATTAATTAATTAATTAATTAATTTTGAGACACAGTCTCTCTCTGTTGCCCAGGCTGGAGAGCAGTGTCGTGATCTCAGCTCATCACAACCTCCGCTTCCCAGGTTGAAGTGATTCTCCTGCCTCAGTCTCTGGAGTAGCTGGGATTACAAGCACCAGCCAACACGCCCAACTAGTTTTTGTACTTTTAGTAGAGACAAGGTTTCACCATGTTGGCCAGGGTGGTCTCAAACTCCTGACCTAGGATGATCCACCCGCCTTGGCCTCCCAAGGTGATGGGATTACAGACATGAGCCGCCGTGCCCAGCCAGGCTGGATTCTTTCTTGTCATTTCCACCTCATCCCCACCCACCATGTGTGGGCAGCTTATTTTGCTTCTTGAATCAAACTGATTCTCTGTCCACTGGGAAGACCAGTAAGAAAAGGAGTTATTGTCACTGACCCTTACTCCGCTTTCAGTAACATAACCTACAGCAGAAGCCTTGGCATGAACTGGTGTTGGTCACAGGCAGGGATAAAGGAGGGACGGGCAGAGAGGATGAGTGGAGCGGATCTTCTCTCACTTCTCCATGGAACAGGAGCCCTTGGTAACATAGAGTCAGGGTGCAGCTGTGTGACACTGATAACCAGACGAGTCCTCAGACTGGAGCCCAGAGGTGGTCTAGGAGGCTGTGTGAATAAACCCAGAGCAGGAGAATCAGGCTGGGACCCCTGAATCACCATCCCTGCTGTCCGCGGTCATAAACTTAGGGGCTGTCTCTGGGAGACCTCCGTAGCCATTTCCATGAGAATGCCCAATGCTTCTGCTGCTCCCCATGCTGAAAAAGGAGACCTTGAGATGGGGACTCCTCAAGAGTTTCCCGGGGAGGAGTCACTTGAAGCAAATATTGGGCAGTTTCTGTACCGGGATATTCCACAGACTCACCACTAGACCCTGACTCAGTGAGACGCTGCAATGGTGTAAGAGAGGAAAAGAGGACACAGTCAGGCCCTGAGGGATCAGGAAACCCACACTCTGCAATCCCCGTGGTCCTGAGTGGGATGAGCTGCAGGAAAGTCACATCCCTGCAACCTACTTCCCCCGTGGCCAAGGAGCAGCCTCAGCCTCGTCTCAGCCATGGCGGAGCCTCCCCTTGACTCTCTCATGTCCTACATAGAGCTTTACTGGCCTCAGGTCTGCAGTTACCCTCAGACTTAATCCCATCGCCTGACATTTCCACTGAAATGCAGGTACCCAGGACTGAGCCAGGTCAGCTCTCTGTCCAGAATTCCTCCCTGACCTGTGTCCTCAGGCAGCATTTCATATTTGAGGACCTTGTTCCTGGGACACAGGGAGCCTCAGACAGCCCTGAGAACAGACTACTGGGGATGGAAGGGGAGGTCTCTGCTTGTACGCTGCAAGAGCAGAGTCCATGCTGCAGGGGACTGTTCACCTGCTAGGATGTCCCCAGGCTCTGACCATGCTGTGAACTAGGAAAGACTCATTTTGCTTCTTTCAAAACAAAAGTCCAGCTCCACAGGCACTGGTGTCAGCACACATGGACACGCAGCCAACACTTCAGGGTCATTAGCTGCTTTGGTTTTGTTTTGTTTTACTGAGACTTCAGAAGGATGGATGGGAAATTGACAGAAGAGCCTTTTACAGCTAGAAAGTACATCCAAATGTAGTTTGTCCTTAGGCTGGTTATTTTACAATTTAAAAATTGTTACAGAGCAAGACCCAGAGCAGGGTGAGATTTTGTCCCACTTCCCCATCTGTGTGTGTCACTGTGAGAAGCGCTGCTGCGCCCAATGACACAGTAATAGTCAGCCTCATCCTCAGACTGGAGCCCAGAGATGCGTAAAATCCCTGTGTTCGCTGAAGCATCTTTGGATCCAGAGAAGCGACTGGGGACTCCAGAGCCCTGGTGCTTATCAGAGTCTGATTTGTACCTCAGAAGATACCGGGGAGGACTCCCTGGCTTCTGCTGGTACCAGTGTATAGTGTAGTCACCAACATTGATGCCACCGCTGAAGGTGCATGTGAGACTGGCTGATGCTCCAGGAGATGCTGAGAGGGAGGCCGGCTGAGTCAGCACAGGCTGGGAGAGGGAACCTGCAAACACAGACATTAATGGGTGCTAAGGCAGAAACCAGGATCAAGTTTTTCAGGGATCTTTGCCAGAAGAGTCAGAATCAGGCTGGGTGACTGGCCCTGGATCTGAAGTCTATTCCTACCTGTAGAGTGAGAGAGGAGCAGGAGGAGGAGAGGAGTCCAGGCCATGGTGGACACAGCCTCTTTCCCCGCAGTGGGGCTGGGCTGCCCCAGGCCTCCTTTTCTTCCCACCCTCTGCAGAGGAGGGGCTGTTCATGCAAATGTGTTTCCACCCAGGGACTGCCCAGCCCCTCCCTGAGCCCTGGGGATGCAGCTCAGCTCA